AAGACTACCATGGCAACCAAGATTATGTAAAGCTTCCCCATTGCCATTGGTAGTGATCTCTTGTTTGTTTAGGCTTATAGCTAGCAGGGGGAGGAACTTCGGAGCAAGTTGGCATTGAGATTTGAGAGTAAAGGGATGGATTTATATTACGAATATGTAACATCCTTTAATGGCAGCTTAATCGGTTTCAATGTTTTATAGTCGTTTTTCTTAGGGACATTTAATGAAAAGTAACTATTTTAATTTGTACCAAATTTTGGGGAAATTATTTCAACCGCAGTTCGCAACATGATCAACAATTGCCTGATCATGTTGCCATAATATTTTATAATAAGTAATTTTTTAGATAGAAAAGTAATTGAGGAGAAAAGTGCTTTACAAATCGTTATCTTAAACTTTTTTAGAGATTTTATTTAAAAACTCATTTTTTAACTAATATTTTTAAAAATCAATTATTAAATTAAAATTTTTATTTATATAGATCATACAAGCAAAAAATTTTCAAATTGTTATAGTAAACTTAATCACTTTGTTGATTATAAGAAATTTAATATTGTTAAATATGTATTAACAAATAGAGTTTATTTGATTAAAGGATTATAAGTATGATTAGATTAATATAAAAATTGATATGTATAATCTACAAATATAAAACTTTTAGTCCAATAGTTAATTTTTGAAAAAGATTAATTAAAATGTGAGTTTTTAAACAAGTTTTCTAAAAATAATTTTAGAAGGACGATCTAATAAGAACAAGCACTACCCTTGATCTTAACCAAAAGATTAAGAAAGGTATAGAAGAATGATCTATCTTTTACTATTCTCATAATTAAAAGATAATTTTTTTGTATAATTTTTTTATACATTCTTATATGTCATTTAATTATTGATTATTTTTACTCTTTTAAAACCTATGATATTATATGAATTTATATATTTAATAGTACATGAAAATTACATAAAAAAATTATTATATAAAAAATTATCCCAATATTAATACCCTTTTAAATATCCAATTTGATGCCAAATCCAAATACACCAAATTCATTAATTAATGTGTTTCACCGAATTTCTAACATGATTTCTGTTTCAAATATTTGAAATCGATTCAAACAAAATTTTTCATAAAGTGCTTCTCACTATTTTTAAAAGTTGTTTTTACCTTCTAAATTGCTAGTAGAAATTCAAGATATCTTACACAATCTAAAAGCAATGAAAAACAAAAAATAGAGGTTAGTTTATCACGAAGGTAGCATTTTCAATTCATTTTAGTTTTATCAAAGACACGGACAGCATGCTTTTTATCATCAACGTTTCATTGTTGCATGGATTGATAAATCTTCAATGAATTAACATGCTCATATCCATACAGTTTCTTGTACATTTACAGTATTTGTTTTTTTTTTTTCCCCATAAATTTCCAAATAATAAACCTTCACTAATCTCTTTGCTTATAACTATCCATATGTAAATTCAAACCTTCTAGAGTATAGCATCTTCAGCAACCATGGAGTCTTGGATGAATCTCCCAAGCCTTCCAAATACGCAATGAAACCGTATTAAAGTTTTCTTGGTTTTATTTTTTCACTTCTTGAGTTTATTACGACATAATAATTCTAAAATTAAGTATAAAAGCACTCGAATTTTAACTCAACTATATTTTTTGAGTTTAAGTCACAATTGTAAGTTCTAAAATTATTGAGTTACAAATTTTTATCAAACTCAAGAACAAGCTCGAACTGGATTTAAATAGTATTAAGA